ATTTGTACATTTTATATTAAAAAAATGGTAAATTTTACATATAACAAATTGGTATATTTAATAATGGGTACATTTAAGATTACAAAAATTGAAAATTATATGAATGGGTGCTTTTATGATTAAAAATTTGAGAATCTTTTTATAAAAAAACTAATGGGTACAAACTTATTCTTATTTTTTTTTAATTTTTTTTTATTTGGAAATGTTAAATGTTTGAATTGAAAATTACTTTGGAGTTTAATAAGGGTGTGAGTATTAAAATTCTAAATCAATTACTAATTTTTATTTTAAAAAATATGTAATAAACATGTAAATTCATTATCACATTAATGCTAAGGATTCCAATCAAAATTTGAAAACTAATAAGGTCTCAGCCAATAAACATTAGTAACTAGGGACTGGATACTAATTTTTCCTTATATTTTCCTAACATATATGTATATTAAGCATGAAGCATTTAAAGGAAGGGGTCCTCATTTTTTGTTATAAAAATATAGGGGATTAGCTGTGGGGCACATATCATATCGAACTTTAGCGATTCGAACTGTCTATTTTTCAAGTTGCACCTCATAGATCATCCTTACAAACTATTAGCCAAATTAGAAATATTTTAAGCATCTAATTGAGTACAAAGAAATTGACGAATACTTTGTTCTTTAAGAAATATTGAAATTTCATCGTAATAATTAAATAGGCAAATTGTTTTGAATTATATTGAATTTTTGTAAGGATGATCTATGAACTGAGGCTTACAAAGTTCAGATTGTTAAAGTTCAACGTGGAGTGTGTGAAATATATTGTAGAAATATACCAACTATTTATGTAATCGAATATAATAAATTAAATGTATAATCACTATCACACTTATGAAAGTTAAAATAGGAAAAAGGAATAAGAATATCTGGCTTGTGAACCAAAGAGAGGCGCGAGGTCGCTGCCCTAAATTTGTAGATGCCTCCCCACATGCAGGTTATGGTGGTGCCTACAACTCCAAGATACAACCCAAAGCGTCACTGGATGCATGATCCGTTATGCATGCCAACGGCAGACGGGATTGCCAGGTAGTGATCAATTGCCCAAGAATTATAAATTAAGAATTGTAGGAATGTAAATTGACTAACAGAAATGTGAGAAGTGAAGGACACAAAATAGTTTCTAACATATTCTATTTTCTGTTTGAGGTTTCTTATTTAAAAACTTCTCATACCCCTTTAGAAAAGGATTATGACTCTTCAAATAAAACACCTCTCTTAAATATTAAAAATAAATAAAATAAAAATAAGTTTTGAATCTTTAAAATAAAATATAATTTAATTAATTAAATTAACCAACAATCCCCCACAAGATTTAAAACTCAATGAGGAATAAAATAGACACAATGAAGAAATGAAAGTTTGGGCAATTTGTATACCATGCAATGGGTGTAGGTGTTTTTTGGAGTTGAACCTACACTTAGTGTTCATAGTTTTCATCTAAAGGAATTAGAGTGAACTAAGTGTTGAACTAGATTCCTCTAATTCAAATTACAACATTTGACACACATAGTATTGATCAAAAACTTGAAGCGGGTTAGCGCTATTTATGGCCATGCATTTAATCTTGATTGCCATGAGTGTTTTTAGAGAACAACCCAATTCTCACAGTCATGGCCTCATGACTACTCTCACTTAGGTAAGTCCTCCGAAAGTACATGTGACCTGTACTCTGGGGAAGATTGCTCGCCTTGGAACTCATTCAAGACAATGTCCTTCCTTAACATCACATATCATCAGCACAAATGTCATAGGGATGAGCAAGGGATTTTATTTCAAATCTCCTATTTAGAGTGCTGGAATATAAGTCATGCAATATGGATTGTTTCTACCCATTGAACCTTCTTTATGGGATCTCTAATCACAAAGGTTGGCTTTCCTCCCTAGGTGATTTCCTTATGGATTTAAGCCCATCCCCCTCGACGAATCTAGGACTCCATTCCTACATAGACCTTTGGTCAATTGATCATCAATATTCTTTTCCGATTTCACCTAGTCCAAAGAAATAACTTCTATTAACAAGCTTCTCACATATTTGTATCTAACATTGATATGTCTATTTACTTTCTTATTTTTATGTGTCTGCCTCACTAAATTTATCACGGCCTTACTATCACAATGTATGGAGATGGTAGGTATAGGCTTGCTCACCAATGGGATATCAAGAAAAAAAATTCTTAATCCATTCAGCCTCTATACATGCAGTATCAAGAGCTATGAGTTCATATTCCATTGTACTTCTGGAAATTATTGTTTGTTTCTTAGATCCCCAAGATATAGTTGCTCTTCCCAATAAAAATACATATCCTAAAGTAGATTTCACTTCAGATCTATCTATGATCCAATTTGCATCATTGTACCCTTCTACTACGTAAGGAAATCCTTTATAGTTTATAGAATAATGCAAAGTTCCTCTTAAATACTTAAACACTCGCCTTAAAGCATTCTAGTGTTCTTTACTTGGATTTATGACTGTATCTACTTAGCCTTCCAACCGCATAAGCTATATCAAGTCTAGTTTTATTTGATATATACATCAAAGACCCAATCATCTGAGAATACTGGAGTTGACACACGGGTTCACCACTATTTTTAATTAAGTACACACTTGGTTCATATGGTGTCGAGACACGATTGCAATTGAAAAAAATTGAACTTGTTAAGCATTTTCTCAATTGAACTAGCTTGGTTTATAATAAAACCTACTTGTGTTCTTTCTACTTTCATTCCCAATATAATATTGGCTTCTCCTAGATCTTTCATATCAAACCTCCTTGATAGATAAGACTGAACATCTTTCACAATTTCTAGACTTGTTCCAAATAATAATATATCGTGAACGTAAAGACATAAATAACACATTGTCCATTGCATTCCTTATAGCAGACACTTTTCATGATCATTGATTTCAAAATCATATTCTAAAATGACTTTATCAAACTTCTCATACCATTGCTTTGGAGCTTGCTTGAGTCCATAAAACCACTTAACCAACTTACACACTTCATGTTCTTGGCCTTTCACTATAAATCCTTTGGGTTGCTCCATGTAAACTTCTTCATATCTAAGATCTCCATTCAAAATTGTTGTTTTAACTTCCATTTGATGAACTACTAAATTGTGTATAGAAGCTAACGCTATAAGGATCCTAATTGTAGTAATCCTAGACACAGGAAAGTAAGTGTCAAAATAATCAATTCCTTCTTTTGAGTGAATCCCTTGGCAACTAGCCTAGCTTTGTACTTGTCTATACTTCCATCAAGCTTCAGTTTCTTCCTAAATAGTGTTGTTTTGTAAAATAGACTCAACTTCACTATGTATAGCTTCTTTCCAAAATGGAGCATCCATAGAGATCATCGCTTCTTTATAGGTTGTTGGATCACCTTCAGTTAAAAAGGTATATAAATCATCATCAAAGTTCTTCTCCACTCTAGGTCTCTTACTCCTTCTAAGTTCTGCTGGAGTCTCTTCTTCATTTTGATGACTAATACTTATGAAGGCTTTGTCAGTACTGGTGCATGATATATTTGCCACTTGCTTTTGCATTCTAGTCTTGAAAGGAAATATGTCTTCAAAATATGTTGTATCCCTTGACTCCATTATAGTGTTATTTGAAATTTCATTTATTTCAAAGTTGATGACTAGAAATCTATTGGCACTGCTATTATGAGCATAACCTAAGAAAACAGTATCCACAGTTTTAGGTTCTATCTTCTTTCTCTTAGGTTCTAGGATCACAACTTTAGCCAAACACCTCCACACTTTCAAGACTTGAAGATTTGGAATTCTCTTTTTCCAAATTTCATATGAGTAGTAGTGTTGCCTTTAATGATTACTCTATTTAATATAAGGCATGAAGGCAAAATTGCTTCTGCCTACAAATTCTGAAATAATCTAGAACTCAAAAGCATTGCGTTCACCATGTCCAATAAGGTTCTATTCTTCCTTTCTACAATTCCATTAGATTGAGGAGAATAGGGTGCTGTTACTTCATGTATACTACCATGCTCTGCATAGAAAAATCTAAGATCAGTAAGAGTGTGGTCACCACCTTTATCAGCACTAAGTCTCTTTATCCATTTCTATAATTGACTTTTCACTTTTGTCTTGTAAATCTTAAATTTACCAAATACTTCATCCTTAGTCTTTATCAAATAAATATAACTATACTTCGAACAATCATCTATAAATGTGAAAAAATACTTATTATCAGCTTTAGTAGGTGATTTATTTGAGTCACAAATATCACTATGTATAAGCTCTAAAATTTGGGTATTCCTTTCAATGGACTTAGAAGGTTCTCTAGGTTGTTTTGCTTGTACACAAATTTCACACTTATGCTTCCAATTCATGTTTGACTTGGGGACCAGGTCTAAGTGCATGCCAAACATTACTAGATTCAACATTGAGAACTTTTGGAAGAGTATTGCACTCGGAAGAAACATTTAACTTAAATAATCTTTCACTAATAAAACCTTTTCCAATAAATACATTATTCTTGGTTATTACAACCTTATTTGGTTCCATTACAGCTTTATAGCCTTGTTTTACTAAACATGATCCACTAATTAAATTTCTTCTAATATCAGGTACATGTCTCACATCCTTCAAATTAAGACCTTTCCAAATGTCATCTTCAATTCTATGACTCTAATTCCAAGCACTTGAGACATTGAATCATTACCTAGAGTTACACGTCCTCCACCTAATTCTTAGTAGGTTTGAAACATTCACGGTCAAAACAAACATGTACATTAGCTCCAGAATCTACCCACCAATCCTTATTTTCATAAGTAAAATTGACAAAAGAATCATACTTAAAATGTGTTTGAGAAGAATGTTGCTCCATCAGTATATTCACTTGGGCTTTTGGACCACTATGATTTGACTTACACTTGTTCTCCTCAGTCTTATTGTACAAGCAATCCTTAGCCATATGATTGGTTTTCCCGCAAACAAAGCAAAGCCCCTTCTCTCTCCCTTGATCCTTACACTCTATTTGGATACAGTAAAATAAAACAGATTTTCATTTAAAATACAAAATTTGGAATGGGAAAGCAGTTTTCCCTTGTTTGGGAACTTGTAGTGTGAGAATAGCCAATTTCTACAAAAAAAAAGGGGAAATTTGGGATGAAGATTACCGAGTTTAATTTCCGTCTAAATAGGTGGAATTCACAATTCCAACAACAAGGAGAATCCCAAATCCATTGGCTGGAAATCTTGCACGCGCCAAATTTCATGATTAGGGCGCCAAACTGGGATGATTAGCGCCAAAGTTCACAATAAAAAGGGCTTCACTCTGTTAGCTCTCCAATCTTCGAAGGGAGTCTCGCTCATGCTTTATCTTCTTCTTTCATTCTAGGTCAGCTTCTTCTCTCTTCTTTCTTGAATTATTTTAAGCTTTTTGGGTATACTCTTTATAGCAATTGTGAATTTTGCTGATAGTCATATGCTTGGTGTGCTTATTAATTTTTTAATCCGATTGAATTGTGTACTGGGTCTGTAACCGTATCTGGGAAACAACTCAAATCAAGAATCAAAGTATAATCGCCTTGTTAATTAGTGAACGCTAATTCAATCAAATTTATCCGATTGAATTGTGATATCAAATTACAAGAGATAAGGAATCAACTCACAATGGGCATCATATAATCGTCTTGACGGTTAACATCTAACTAATCGAGAAAATCTGATTAGCATACCAAAGTTCTTTAATTATGATGTATGAAAAATAGAAGCAGCAAAAAGAAAAAACGCTAATTTCTTTAAAGTAAGTAATCAAAGGAACAATCAGCAGGTAGCTCGTAACACTCTTTTTAGGTCTGTAACCTTGTCTGGGAAAAAGGAAAGGTTTTTGATGGTGGTGGGTAGAGGGGATACATACTATTGGCTCTTCCCTTGAATTGTTTCCTTCACTGGAAGAAAAGAAAACATAGACTAGCAGTCCTCCATTTTTAGTTTTTGATGGCCCTTGGTGTTAGTTTACAAAGTTCATTTTTAAAGATGTTCTTTTGAAGGTTAACAGCAGCCAAGATTGAAAATGATGATTTTGTTAAGCCACCGAAGCAGTAATTGAAAGAAGGAAATACTCTCATGATACTAATGCTAGATTGTTCTATCTTGACAAACCAACTATTGATTTGAATGTGACTTGTATGGTCACTCTTTTTTTCTTTTTCTTTTTTCTTTTTTTTTTCTGTTCACTTTTGCCTCATTTGTTTTTTGGTTGCGTAGCGTCACTCTTAATGTCTTGCCTCAAAAACCTTATGCGTCTACTACATGTATATTGCTATATCTACAACTTTTGGTTAAAACAGAAAGTTGCATATCCCATAACTGTTGTTGCATGTCACAATAAATCTTTGTTCATATATTCAAACAAGTATGGAAAATACTGATGTTGTAGACATGCTAACGATAAAGAGAAAGCGTGCTATAATTGAAGCGGAAAATAGGTAAAAAAGGAAAATTATTGTCAGTACAATTATTTATGTTATTGTCATTGTCATTCATTGGTATAGTAAGAGTGTTCTTCTCAAAGGACCTTCAAATGATTGGGATCAAGAAAGACAATCTTTCCTCAGCCGATTGTTTAATGGAAAAGATTCAACTTGCATTGAACAATTACGAGTTAGCAAGAGTGCATTTAAGCGGTTATGTGAAATTTTACAAGGGATTGGTGGATTAGTTAGCACTAAACATGTGTCCATTGAAGAATCTATTGCAATTTTTTTTAATATACTTGTCCACAACTTAAAGTTTAGAGTCATCGGTTTACACTATTAGCATTCCAAGGAAACAATTAGTCGGCAATTTCACAATGTCTTGCATGCAATGATGAAAATAAGTCAAGAATATGTGAAATATCAACCATGCGTTATTGGTAATTCTAAAAGAGAGAAGTGGCGGTGGTTTAAGGTAATCAATCAGCACCTAAACCAAAAAATTATGTATTTGTTTGATATCTTCACTAACTTTTTAGACTTTAATCTTTTCTTCATTGTATGACATTTTTATTTAGAATTGTCTTGGAGCACTTGATGGAACTCTCATTCCAATAACAATAACGGCTGAGGAAAGACCAAGATATCGAGATAGAAAGGGTGATATATCCACTAATATGTTAGGAGTTTGTGGTCCAGATTTAAGATTTTTTTATGTGTTACCTGGATGGGAAGGCTCTGCATCTGATGCTCGTGTTTTACATGATGCTTTACATAGGAGTAACCAGTTTCATGTTCCAAATGGTAATGTGTGATACCAATTAGTTCTATGTTAAAAAAAAAAACAAAACTTTAAAATATATCTAAATTTGTTCTCTAAATTTTTATTGTAGATAAGTATTATCTTGTGGACGCTGGCTATACTAATGGACCAGGGTTTTTAGCACATTACCGTGGAACTAGATATCACTTGAAAGAGGGGGTTGGAAACCGTCAACCTGAAAACTACAAAGAATTATATAATTTGTGTCATTCAAGGGCAATGAATGTTATTGAGAGGGCATTTGGATTGTTAAAAAAACGATGGAGCATATTACGCACACCATCATTTTTTGATATTAAAATGCAAGTTAGGATTATAAATGCATGTTGTATCTTACATAATTTTATTAGAATTGAGCAAGCAGCTGATCCAGTTTTAGAAGCTCAAGATTTACAATTTTCAACATATGTGGATTTAGAGTTGTTAAATCATTCAACAAGAGAGGAAAATGAAAATAACTCTGATGGGATTACATCTGTTCAAGGTACTGCCAAATGGACAACGTTTCGTGATACATTGGCATTGCAGATGTTCCATGATTACCAAGGTTAGAGAGCTATTAATACTTCTTAATCAGAAATTAGTTGTTTTTCTTAGCATGTTATCTTTAACGTCTCAATTAATAATTTTGTCAATGACATTATTGCTATGAAACACATTAGTTTTTAAATTTTATGTAATGCCCTAGTTTTCAGATTTTAGTTTGATTATATTATCTTAGTGATTGCTAATACTCTGATTCTTGAAGTGCATGCTATGAAATGCATTAGTTTTTATATTTTATGGAATGCCCTGGTTTTCAGATTTTAGTTTTGATTATATTGTCTTAGTGAATGCTAATACTCCGATTTTTGATAGGCATGCTATGAAATGCATTAGTTTATGGAATGCCCTGGTTTTCAGATTTTATTTTGATTGTGTTGTCTTAGTGAATAATGATATTCTGATTCTTGATATGCATGTGTCTACGAATGACTTAAAATTTCAATTAATATTTTTTTAATGTTAGGAGCAATGGAAGGATTCGATAGAAAACCAGTATGCAAACAAAAACCAGGGAAAAAGAAAGAGAACCAAAAATTGAAAATGAAGGAGATGAAAATAATTATTTTAGATGGAATGTAGACATGGAACGTGCTTTTGGCTAACATATTTCGCAAAGAACGAAGATTGGGTAACAAAGGAGATGGTGGTTGGAATACAGCTGCTTATAATTTTACTGCATTTATATTATCTACTCAATTTGATATTCATGTAACTGCCGATAACATTCGAAATCATGTGAAGTGTTGGAAAAAGCTCTATGCAATAGTGAGTGATATACTAAATTAAAGTGGATTTAGTTGGGATGCAACCAAAAAGATGATAAGTGTAGATGAAGATCATGTCTGGCAAGAGTACGTGAAGGTATGACAAATTCATTCTTTTCCTTTTGTTTGTGTGATATTCTTTTAACTCTTCTTATACTTATGGTTTGTTTTTTATTTTTATGTTTTGATTGGTAGTCACATAGTGGTGCTAAAAGTTTTTGTTGGAAGGTCATTCCAAATTAGGATGATATAGTGGATTTGTGTGGTAAAGATAGAGCCACGGGTGAGGGTGCTGAAATAGGTGTGGAAGCTATTGAGATTATGACTCCTCCGCATAATGAAACTAATCATATTGATTTGGATAGTGATACGCAAGGTTTAGAAGATATTGAAATTATTAATGATATTTCACCTACTTCAACCATTGGTCAAAAGGCTCATAGCAAGAGAAAGCCAACAAATTTTGTTGATGTGCCTCATACAAAGAAAAAACCAACCACCCCTAAAGATATGATTGCAAATTCACTTGCCAAGATGGCTTCATCCTTTCAAGACTATATTTGTGTAGACACAAAGAAGCTTGATCGAACAGAGGTATATGATGAAGTAAATGCAATACCAGATCTCAGTGAGAAGAACAAATCAAAGCATGTGCTTGGTTGATCAAAAATGACAAGCAATTTCTCATGTTGAAGACACTCCCAGTTGAGAAGAAAAATAAAATGGTATTATTGTTTACTTCACGAGGCGCATAGGATTGTTTTCATTATATTTCCCATTTTAGTGTTTTTCAGTAAGATATTAGTTAAAATAAAAGCTTTGCATGTCATGAAAGTTCATTGACATTTGCAAGTGTGCTTTACTGGGATTTTTCTACTTCAATCAACTTTATCATATTATTGCAGACTCATCACATTATTGCAGCTATTAATTGTTGGAAAATTTACTCTAATTTTAACTAATATCTTGATGATGTATCATTTTGACGCAAACTGATGATTTTATAACTAATGTCTCATTTTTGTTTGATGACTTTAACCTTGATGATTTATAACCAGTTTAACATTTTATTCAAATTTGTATTCCTCTATATAATAAAAATTCTAGAGAATATCCAAACAATGAAATTTGGAATTCCCGTCATTTTGTAATTTCTATGTATCCAACATCCAAACGATGAAATTTCAATTAACGGGAATTTAATTACTGTCAATTGTAATTCCCGTCATTTAAAATTATGTGATAATTTAGAAATTCTCTATCCAAACATAGTGTTAGTCTTCTGGAAGTTCTTATTTTGGTTGGATGATTTGAACTTAAAATTTGTTCTTCTGGGTTTGAAATTATTCTTATTATTTCTAGTGAACTTGTTTTTGCTTTCACCATTTTTGTTGGTACTATTCTCAACTAAGTTCACCATTGTTTTCTTTTCGGTTTCCTTCATTTGGCTTGACTTATGTTTCTCTTCAACCTTTATTGAATTCATGGCTTGAACCAAAGTAAGTTCTCCTTGTTTATGCCTTAGGGTTTTAGCAAAGTCATTCTAAGATTGAGGCAATTTATCAATAAGGTAGAAGACTTTAAAGTCCTCACTGAACTTTATTCCTTTCTTTTCAACTCTTCTTAATAGCTCCTAATACTCATGTATTTGTTCCCCAACCGACTTGTTATCAACCATCTTATAATCATTAAAGATTGAGACCATGAACCTATCCCTCCCAGCATCTACAATTCCATATTCCGCTTCTAAAGTTTCCCAAAGTTCTTTGGCGGTGGATGTAGTAGAATCATACATATCATAGAGGTGATCAAAAAGGACACTTAAGATTTTGTTGTGACAATGTATTCTATTAGTTCAGAGGTTAGTTTAGAAAGATGACTCTTTAGAAGAGTAATCTTTGTTTAATTGAGTTTCTTCAAGTGCGGATACAAGTCCTAAGACAGTTAACCAATATTTCACTTGTTTTTACCACCTACAGAATTATAGCCACTATTTTTTTCAGGCTTAACACTATTGGCTTCTTCTAGACATGTCATTTGTTATGTAATATTGACTAATAATAAGTGAGAGAGACAAATAAGATTGCTAAAATACTGTAGAAATTAAAACAGATTGTCACTCAAAAGTTTTAACAAGTATAAGGATAAACTATACCACTGCATAATAACCACAGATCATGTAATAATGATAAGTACGCACAGATTTAATTAAAGCATAAAACAATTAATATATATCAGTATGCAATTTTAGTGAAATCACGTTTGTTCCAAGAGTTTATAATTAAAGCAATTCAATTGTACTTCAAATTGATGACAGTTTAATATTTAAGAATTAATTGCAATTAACTATACAGGGATTATCAACCCCAGAAAATAAATGACAGATAAGCAGTATTAAAGTGCTTTGGTACCGAATAAAAAAAAAAATATGTAGAGAACCAAAGATGCAATGAAGGCAGTATTATAAACACACATTTTTGCAACTATATTAGTAATTTAAGAACCAAATATTAACAGCATGAGTAAATTGGTTCAACTACTATTTAGATGCAATCAACGAAGGGCAGGGTTAGCCTTTCCTAGAAAATTCAACGACAGGAAAACTATGATTATTGGGGCTCTCAAAGCACTGTGAAAACAAATTATAAAAATTTGCAATTATATTATGACACTTCTATGGCTTTAGATTGTTAAATATATTGCAGGAATTTACCAACTATTTATATGATCAAATATAACAAATTAAATGTATAATCACTATCAAACTTATGAAAATTAAGTTAGGAAAAAGGAATAAGAATATATGGCCTGTGAACCGAAGAAAGGCATGATGTCACTGCCCTAAAGCCATATATGCCTCCCTACGTGCAGGTTATGGCGATGCCTACAACTCAAAGCCTCACAGGATGTCTGATCCGTTATGCACACCAACGGCAGACAGGATTGCCAAGTAGTGATCAATTGCGCAAGAATTATAAAACAAGAATTGTAGGAATGTAAATTGACTGACAGAGATGTGAGAAGTGAGGGAAACAGAATAGTTTTTAACATATTATATTTTATGTACGAGGTTTCTTATTTAAAGCACTTCTCATACCCCTTTAGGAAAGGATTATGACTCTTCAAATAAAACACCTCTCTTAAATATTAGAAATAAATAAAATAATAATAAGTTTTGAATCTTTAAAATAAAATATAACTAAAATATTAAAATAACCAACAGAGTGGACCCTACAACTAGTCCTCATTTTTACCTGATCCCTTTAGACAAAAGACTTGATATTAAGCATATACTTAGCTTATCACCTAATCCAATTTCACAGATAACCAAATCACATGTAATCCAAGACAAGATCTATTGTACCAAGTACCAACCCCAAGGGCCGGCCCTAGCTCATGCGGGCAAGGCAATCGTTTGGGGCCTTAAAAAAATGGGGACACCAAAAATATTAGTTTGGCATATTCATATATGTTTTTAGAAAAGTATAAATTTTTAAAATTTGATTAAATGGTCGAGAAGTTTAATAAGAATTGGGGGTTTCTTCTTCAAATTAAGGAGGATGTTGTCGGTTTGAAAACCTATGTGTGTTTTTTTTTATTTTTCAATTTCTATGAATTTCTTTCCACAAGAGTATAAATTTATAAAATTTGGTTATCTGATCTAGAAGCTTAACCAAAATTGGTGGTTTCCACTATTTAAAATTAATGAGGAAGTTATGGTTCAAAATGCTATGTTTTTTTTTTTTCCTTTTTTAACAAATTGTTGTTTGGTCGTTAATTTTTTGTAGGGTTTTTATCACAAATAGTCTATGAAATTGACCACTCCATCAAAATGGTCCCTGAAATTGAAAATCGATCAATGTAGTCCTTGAAAATTGGTGTCGCAAATCAATGTGGTCATTCCGTTATAATTCTGTTAACATTTCTGTTATGTGCTGCTGAGGCATATAACTGGGTCCCACAATAATTAAATATTACCATTTAAAAATATTTAATGATAAAATATATTTTTTATTTTGTTTTATATAAATAAAAAATAAAAAATAAAAACCGATCATCTTCTTCCCCTCCACCGAGCAACTAGCCCCGCCCCGCCCCACCTCACCTTGTCATACATGCACCCAAGCAACCACTTCTTCCCCTCCTACATCACCACAAAATGCAATATCCCAGGCCCCATCCTCGTCCTCACTTTTCCCTGCAACGCAATCTTTAGTCCCCAACCTGATCCGCTTCAAGGACATCCAATTTTCTTAAGCTTTGGTGCTTTGTCACACACCAATAATGGCCTTGTTGACAACCTGAGTCGCCGACTCCCCTCACCGAGACCTACTCCCAGATCTGCAAGAAGAAGAAGATGGTGGGCTTTCCTCGTACCATTTCGCGCATCCGATCAACCATCCTTCGTCGCACTGATTCTAATTTCTAACGAATGGGCGTTTGGCTGGTTGGGTAGGGTTGGGATGGTGATGGCGCCTAGGGTGGTTAAGTAGGGTGGGGAATAACATAATTATCTTTTTCTTTTTATTTTATTTTATTTTATAAAAATCAAAACTTTTATTTAAATAATTTAATGATAATATTAATTAGACTTGTAGGACCCAGTTATGTGGCACGTCAGCATATAATAGAAATTTTAACAAAATTATGATGGAATGACTACATTAATTTGCGACGTCAATTTTTAAGGACTACATTGATCGATTTTCAATTTCAAGGACCATCTTAATGGGGTGGGTCAATTTCAATGACCATTTGTTATAAAAGCCCTTTTTTTTCCCTCTTGTTTGATTATAATTAGTAGTTAACACCTATGTCCATTTCAAGTACCCTCAACAAAGAGTAATGCTAGATAAACCAAATTGTTAGACTAAAGTTGCAAACTATATGATGTGTCACCAATATAAAATAAGTACGTTAATTAACACTTAAGTAATAACGTAATCATATGGTTTACAAAATTTGATTAAAAATTTAGTCTCCCTAACATTAGGTTTCAATAAATTAATGTATGTATGTCTTTGTTGGAAAAATTAGGGTCAAATTGCTATATTAAATCACATAAAAATTTCAGAAATAACTCATGCAATTATATATTAAAATTAATGCATGCACATGAGTAACCAATGCTAAATGAACATGACATAATGGATTAGAAAAACCTTGAAAATACGGTCGAGGCAAGTGTTGGACACTTTGTCCTTAAGACAAGTTTATGCCCCACTATGGTGCTCATGGTTGATCGGCGCATGTCTCCCAAGATACAACGACCACGTCCTTGTAATAGTAGCACTTCAAATCACAAGGCTCCATGAACCACAATTGTGTTGAAAACCCTCTCGTATAGACTCAATGAGACTCTAATATTTAGTACACTATATGTATGATTATGTAAAACAATGAAAGTTCTTTTGTGATTATAGGAGGCTTCCTTATTTATAGAATGTGAGATACCTCTTTGGAAAGTATGTGACTATTCATGAAGAGTCAAAAGCTGCAACTCTTCATTTGAGTAGACATATCTTTCTACCAAAAGGCTCCACTTCTAATTTCTATTCAATTAATAAATTTAATATAATAATATTATTATTAGATTTTCCAACAATCCCCACATGAATGGAAATTGACCCAATACCATGCAAATGACAATGCAGACACTAGCAAGAGAATTCAGTAGGAAATCGCGCAATCGTTTGGTCATGAGCCTCTCTACTTCTTCCTGAATTTACCTTCGTTAGGGTAGTGGAGCTCTCCGCTACCCCCGATCGTGACCTACTGGTCCAGGCTACTCTTCCATGTGTTTGGTTCATCTATGTCGCGGCTACGGTGAATGTGGTACGTTTCTAGTAGGCGAACGAATTTCTCACAGGTTACCAATTGAACTTAAGCAAGATTGAGTAACTGCTTCTCTCTGTCCATCATGCTGCCTACTCTGATGTAAGGTGGAGGATGCTCCTTGCGGGCTTAACCGCAAATGAAC